ATGCAACGCCATCAGGGTGCTCCAAAATGGCAGCAATTCTATTTTCCCAATCTTTCCTGCGGAAAATTTCCTGCCGCAACAAAATGGTGGAAAAATATGGAAAAATAGCAAAATAACGTGAAACCACAGGAAATCCACCCAAAGAACCGTTTTTCGGCCCACCCGTAAGCCAAAGCGTGGGAACCGGAGGCTTGGCAGTAGAATTTTCGCCACTGGTGTCGCAAATCGGGGGACAGACTGCGATTTGCAACGCAACGCGCCGACCCTGGGCGGGCGGCGCCCGCCGGGCGCTCATACAAAATACGCATTCTCAACTCCAACGGCTGCTCTTCCCCCAGAGATCCGACGTGCTGGGCAATGAGTTCTGAGTTGACCTCCCCTCTCTTTCATTCACATATTCCCACAATGGATGGTCGCCCACAGGAATGGAATAGACGTGATTGGCGCGCGTAAGAACGAATTGGACATATCGACCGTAACGGCTACCGTTGTCGACTTCGTGGCTACGCACAAGGGGCAACATCCGCCGACAACAGCAACACGTTCAAAAGAGACACCAGAGGACCCTGGAGGGAGGAGGATGAGGAGGAGGAGGTGCCCTGGGCAGTGCCCAGTGGGCACCGCCCACCAAGAAACGACATTTCGATCTTGCGTTCTTGCAAGATCTAGCGAAGTTTCCAATACTTGGACTGTGGCGTTTCACAAGAGCGCAAGATTAGAACGGCAGACTTCCAGGTCAAATCATGTACGAGGTGGCTCTCCGAGGACATGAATGCATTACACGAGGACCGCTCACTGAGCGGCGCTCAGCGATTACTGTGAGACTCATAGGGTGAATTAGGTTTGCGGGCACGTGTCGCAAATTCAGCTTTCCTTTGCACAGTCGCAAACCCGATGGATTCAAGATTAACGCGCGAAGCGCGAAAAATTTTTCCATATTTTTCCATTGTTGCCGTATTTTTCTGTATTTTCCCATTTTTCCATCCACCCAACCATTCTTTCCAACGGCGGAGCACCCTGAACGCCATCTCTGGTCGATATCAACCAGGGACTACCAGAGCGACATGGATCATCTCACGCCCATGTCGGGTTTCGGCCTACCTTCAGAGCAGCCGTGCGTCCGTGGTTGAACTCTTCTCGGACCTCAGCATCAACGAGATACCTCGACAGAATCTCCCTCTAGTTCCTGCTGCATCGTGTTTTTCTACTTGATGCGAGCTTGTAACATATCTTTCCGTTGTTCGAAATACTCTGTGATCATCACTGGCGGACGCAGTTTCAGGTCCTTGAACCGGGTCACCCTGGCATGCACGCATCCGAGTGCGTGCCAGGTAATTTTTCAGGTAGTTTTAACAGCACCAGGTAGCAGCCTGGGCTGACCTTCTCCCGGTGTGTTCTCTTGGCTGGCCCCCGCTTCCATCGGGATCCTGTTGCTCGCTTCCGACGTTAGGCGTTACGCACTGCGTTTAATGTAGTACATTAAATGAATCCGTATACCGTCATTGAATGACGGTCATTCCGAGGTACATTAAATGTACCAATGTATTGGCATCCTGATGCAGGGACTCGAACCCTGATTACGTGGGAGATAGCCACGAGCCATAACCAGCTAGACTACGCGGGCACGTAGCGGAGAAGATAATGTACATCTGGGCCCCAGATTCTACTAGCATTATGTACTAGTGAGTCAGGCCACAAATAGTGGCTGCTCCATAACCCAGTGGTCGGGATTCCTCGGGAGCCTGGTCGGGAGCCTACCGAAGGAGATATACAGATATTATTTCGTGTTGGAGCAGTCACCGTCTTCCGGTGTTTCATTGGCTTTGGGGGAGCAAACATTCCACGTCTCTTATTATCCTCATTTGCGGTCTCACAAATGGTTATATGCATATTTGAGCACACACGGTGCGTGGCACACCTGAAGTACGTCATCAGTAATGATTCATGCATTAACCCACATCAGGCGATGAGACTCAACTTAGTTGAGTCAACTACAACCATCATGTCTCAGAAAATGTACTGAGACAGGTAAATAAAGAACAGTCATTGAAGGATAATAACAGTCATTACATAGTCTGTCGATAGGCATTCTCGAGCTACTACGGTTACTTACTTTTGGCCTGTCCTCCTAGCATGGCTATTTTCGGGTCAAACTCCATCTCGGTCGACAGAGAATACTCCCAGAGAGTGTGAAACTTGTCCCATATAGTTCTTTAACTCGCTCCAAAGAGTGCGCTACGTTCGCATTTAATCTCTTCCCTTAACCCGTCCTTCATAGACTTCTTCCACAACCTCGCTCCGACTTTTGACTCAACTCCGTGGACCTTGTCCATCATTTTCCTTCCTGCTTGCCGAGTAACTTCGATCATGCTAGCTTCTTTCTCCGCGGACCATTTAACCGGGGCCTTCCTTCCCGACGTTTCAATCGATAGGACTCCTTCTTCTCTCGACACCTCTGCAACTTGAAGTTGCCAACTTCTCGTTTCAAGTCGTCACGAGTGGCTTCTAACTTCTCCGTAAGTTCCCACAAAGTTTGATACTTTTTCCGGTTCATGTCGTTGGCTTTGGTCAGACAAGCTGTAAGACCACGTAATTGCTTCTCCAGAGTTCTTCTGGCGAGCTGGGTATCCGCCTCCGACTCAACTTGAGTCACTCAAGCTCCTCTTCACTTGAGCTACTTCTTTGCGATCCCGTCACCCGAAGGCAAAGCATAAGTACATGATTTTTCACCAACCAGGTTAACCTTCATACATTCTGCAATCCACTACATCACGGTGGCGTTTCAATCCCGCATTTGAAGAAGTTGGACCACCATCACCCGTACCGGAGGGAAGAAGTGACCAATCAACAGTCGGCATATCATCCAAAGATAGAGGGTCGCCCACTGGGAGGAGGGGGGAATAATATTGCCAACCATGTTTCCCTATTACTTACCATAGGCTCGCAGTTGTTATCATCAAGTTCTATATCGGAGGCGATTCCCAGTGGCAGGCTGAGTTTGAAGTCTTGGCGGTCTTTTTCCTTGTCACTGGGGGATGGCGCAGCTTGGACGATGACTGAGGTGATGAAATACCTTATTCCGGACGTCAATTGTATTTTCACGTATAGTTTTATTCTCATCGGGCTCAACTTCTTCTTGATTCCCCTGTGGTACCGTAGTTGCTGGGCTCTTTTGGGGTTGATCTACGGGTGCCGCGGATCAATTAAGTTCAATCGAGTGAAACAATTAGAGAGACTCCACATGGTAATTCCATGTAATGTGGCTTACCTTGACCGCCTTCTTGATTTCACTGTGGTGCCTCAGTTGTTGGGCTCCCTTGGGGTTGTCCTGCGGTTGCCGCGGGTGTGCCGGTGATTACTGAAGTGATTGAATTGGGAATATTCCAAACGTACGAATATTCAAGGTGGACGACCCACGGGTAGTGCCGTTGTCAGAGGTGGGAGACCCACGGCTAGTTCCGCTGTCAGAGGTGAAAGGCAATATTGAACTCATAATACAGGGGGCACAATTTTCTAGCAGATTGTGGGGGTCGTCTGTAGAAAACCCTTCCAACACACCCGGGTCGGTTCCTAGGAGGACATTTTGCTCATCTTTAGCGTCAGTGTTTGACAGGGCTTTTATTAGAGCTGGAGTAACTGTTCCATAAACGCGACATTGAAGGATTCCACCGCTCTTCGTCCGTGCGGCCTACGGCGCAACGCAACGCAACGCCTATTCCCGGGGCATAACACGCCTGGTGCGTATCGCCCATACTTCGACCAATGCACGCAGTGGCAGTAATCAGTGGCAGCATCATCCCTCAACCCCAAAAGTATGCAATACACACGGTTGTAGTGAATGTTGTTGATACCACTACAACTCAACTCACACAGAGTTGTTAAAGGCTTAACTTAACCCTTACTTATGAAAGAACAGTAACTCAGACCAGTACTAGCTTGCGCTAAGATACTGGAGACAGAATACTCAAATAGACGTTAACACAATCTCGTCACATTCTCCCCGCCGATGACTCGGATCATACTTCAAAGACTCTAGTCACAGCAATGATTGCATCGTAGGGATCCAACGCTATATTCTTAGAAGCTTGGATGAACCCGCGTAAACCACCAGAACTTTTAAAATCGTCGCGAGTCATACCGAACTCACGGCGCATATGAGATTGTACATCAGCAATATACATAGGGCCCGCTTTAGATAAAAGAAGAGAATGAATAAATCGCTCAATCTCCCTACTGCGGGATAATGGTTGCTCATCATCAGCATCGCTATTGGTGGTAATCACTCTATCGTCAACACGAGTGGGCACTGCATCGTTAACAGTATCCACCCTAAACTGGATATCATCAACTGGTAACACATGATCAACATTAACAGGAACAGTAACCCTTGCTTTCGGATCTGGCAGATCCGATCTGCTCGATCCACAGGATAGAGAGAACCATTGGCAGTGACTTGTTGCACTCCAAGTGGTTTAGACCAGCGATAACCCAAACGAGTATTAGTGAAGCGGCGAACCAATACTTTATCACCAATGCTGAACGAAGGAGCCTCTTCACGTGCATCATCATATCGCACTTTTTGCTTCAACCTATCATCTAAAGTAACATCACGCATCAAAGCGAAGCCTTCACGCATAACCTTCTTCAGTTTCCCAGCATAGGTATCGTAATCAGTAGTTTTCAACTCCTGAGGTTGAAGCGGTTGATCCACAATCGCTGGTTCAAATGGTAGTCTTGGACGCCTTCCATGAATAAGTTCATAAGGACATAACGATATATTTGGTAGAGTTCTCACATTATGCGAAAACGTCACACTAGCCAGAGCCAGCTCCCAGTCATCTTCAGCGCACAACCCTTCTTTAATAAGTATAACCAGATCATGCAGCAAGCTTTGATGGCTTCGTTCATTGGCTGCATTCCCTTGCGGCCGATAACTTGTAGAGAAGGTAACCGATAACTTGAACAAATCATAGAAGGCTTTACTTATGCCAGAAGTAAATTCGCCTCCACGATCACTATGAAGGCGATAAGGCACACCATGGATCGCTATGAGATTTTTCCACAACCACAACTTAACTTTCCTTCAAGGAGAGAGGGCATGTTATCATATAGTGGGAAAAGTTACATAATATCACCAATATGTGCCTGTTTCCAAGACGTGAAACAGGAAGATCTGTGACAAGATCGACCGAAGTAAACTGCCAAGGATACTGAAGTACATTCAGTCTCATATAACCATAAGGGGCCGCCACTGCCTTCCGCCGCCAGCACGGTAGACAGGAGGTTACATACTTCTTAACTGATGTAGATAGACCCCATCAGAAATACTTACTTTTAATAGCCTCATATGCATTTCTTCGACCTGGATGACCGGCAAGTTGGCTACCATGGAAGGCATATAATATACGTTGCTGCAAAGGAAAAGGTACCACTAGTCGCAGTCGATGTTCAGGCGAGCCAATATTTTTCCCCTTGAAATATAGGAGACCATCAATGAGGACGAAATAACGCTACGTCTACCCCTGTTGGTTTGGTGGTCCACGCAGTACGTGCGTCGCCGCTCTGAGTGATGACAGGACTGAGAACACGCTCGCTGGCTTTTCGAATTGGGGCGAAAGGGTCGACGTCGCGGCTTATGGTGTGGGTATCTTCACCGACCGGTGGGAGAACGGTACTGAGAGGTACTTCTACGGTACGTCAGCCGCGACTCCGGTTGTCTCTGGCATTGCGGCCATACTATTATCAATGAACATTGAGGGATGGTGAAACGGCTCATAGATGCTAACTCAGATCCCATCTCCTTTGCACCTCCTCGAAGTATACTAGGTGGAGCCCTTAATGCGCAGAACACGGTGCAGCACGCCATCCACATTCTCCAGACAAAGTTCACGTGACTTCGTCAACAATGACGCTCTCATGGTCGGAAACAACTTTTTCGCTCAACACGGCGTTCAAGTGCCGGCGTGATAGTAGGCAGCCAGGGTGAGGTTTCTTGAATCCCTCTCTGGCTTTTGCGCCATTCGCTTCATCTGGGGCTTCGCCCCTGGCGAAAAGTATTTCTTCTTTTCCTTATCCTTTGGTGATACCCTCGGGTGGACAGTCCCCAATGAGGAGTCCTCATTATCCCACCCGCATGGTTCCTATCATCACTCATCAATGTTCAGCGCTATCCTCCGGCTGATCGCTGGCGGCCACGACTGTGCGGCCGGTGTCCCTGGCTGCGATCAGTCACTTTCTTCTTGTTTTTGCTCGGGCCGAGCTATGGCCGTCACTCATCGTCATTGACGATTCGTCAACTTATCACGTTGGGTCTCAGAGACCTGCGAAACCTTCGGCTGCGGTATATATTCGTAATTCCGCTAACCAAGTGAACTGGAGATCTTAACGGTGATGAGTTCAGTTCGAATGCCCGCTTCTAGCACTCGTTGTTCTACATTGGCCCGGCCTGCAAGGCCGCTAATTCATACAGGTGTCACCCACTATGTGGTACTGCTAACGTGAAGATCCGGGCTTTGCCTGGAGCAAGTTCAAGCAAGCGTAGCAACACGCGCCCGTAATCGACCAAAGTGGTAGCAAAGACATGTTGCGTTCGTGGTTGTAGGGAGCGGAACCCGGCGTGAG